CAGAATTTTGTGAAATATAACTGAATTTTGCCAAATCTAGACAGTTCTAAGAATATTCTTGCAAAATTCTGTTATATTCCACAAAATTCTGCTTTGCTTTGAAAAATTCTGAAAATATTTCGCAAACTTCTGCGGACGGTGGTGGTGAATTAATTTAATTGATTATTGTTGAATTTTGGCTGCGTTGAGGATAAAATTTCATCATTGCACAGTCCTCCAGTGTGCCGAAAGCACACTAGAAATGTATCAATGGCACGGTAAAAGCATGCTAGCAGCACATAAAAAGCATACTTTGGCACACTTTTTCCGTACCATTGGCACAATTTAAGTGTGCTTTTTCTAAAAGTATGCTTTTCCGGGACAGTGTAGGTGCGAACGCCGACCGAAGAGAGGCGTGAGCATTGTCTGTCATTCAGAAATATTTTTAGACCTCTGAAGCTCTTTGTAGAGTCTCGAGAGAACCTTTTAGATTTACATTAGATTACGAAGCTTACACATCAAACCAAAGAAAAATTTATGGCATATTTTAGATAGTGGTCTAGCGAACACCGACCGAAGGGAGATGTGAGCGTTGTCTTGGATGCAAAGCCATGGAAGGTCGTTCTCAGATATAAATTGTTTTAACCATTTAAATTTAAATAGACGCATCGTCAATTAGGTATGTACCCATTATAGGCTTTGCAGAAGAGTGAGAAGGATGAATATGAGAAAGAAAAAAGATATAAGTTCATAAAGTCAAGGGACCGAGCGAGTGCAGACTAGCGGAAACTTGTTTGAATCGTTGTCGATTAACTATAGAACGAGTGGAGACATCAACAGCATTCCATAGACGAAAAGTTTCGGGAAAAGAGATTAGACGAAGAGACAAAAGACAATTTCATATCATGATTCGAATGGGATCCCTAGTCGGGCCTCCCTGCAAAACTCCCACAGGACTCCTGTCACGGGGTTCTGCGGGATCCTGTAGGAGTCAGGTGGGACTTTCAAGGGATTTCCCAGGACTCCTGAAGACTCCCGTGAGACTTCTGTGGAGCTTTCGAGTCCTGTGGGAGTCCAACGAAGTCCTCAGAATCCTCAAAGTCCCACGGGAGTCCTCAGGAGTTCTGAGAAATCACTTGAAAGTCCCACCTGACTCTCGCAGGATCCTGCAGGACCCCGTGACAGGAGTCCTGTGGGAGTTTTGCCGGGAGTCTCGACTAGGGGATGACTAAGAGGACGATATCGAATCTCTATCTGTTACTTGAAATATTTACATTTATAATTGAGGTTCATGTCAAAAATGCATGTTCGCTAAAAGTTTCACCGAAAAATAACGAATGATTGCTGAGAAAAGTGGGTTCGATTCATAATCAATCGAAGATACGGTCGATAAAGCGACACCTATAATTCGGAAAGGAAGCATACCATATTTTGACCCTAAGTTAGTCTATATGAGCCCTATATATATGGTAAAAAACTTCAGCCTAATCCGTGATATCAAGGATCCTGGTCTTCCATACTCTGTCGATATTTCTCAGAAAATGGCTTTTAGTTAAATCAAGAGAATTATAGTATACTGTTTGTACAATTTTTTATAAAACATCTCGAATATTATAACCACGATTATTTAAGCGAAAGGTTTTAATATCCAAGTCAAAAGTTTGTTTAAATAAATATATTAAAATTCTCAGTTTTTCTTGCCGTTGATTTAGGTAATTTTCTGGGAAACGTACCACGTTTACATCGACTATATGTCAATCGTTTGAAATCTGTAGGACTAGTACAACTTGAGCTAGAATTTTGAGTTAGAATTTATACATAGAGAGCTATAAAATCTCTATCAGACAGAGCATTCCAAAATCTAAGAAAGAGTCTCAGGAAATTTTTTAAAAACGATAGCTGTTTTTGAAAAATAGACTTTTTTTAACCATATTTTCTCCACAAAGTCAAGTCAAAACAACAAGATAATAAGATACGTATTCGACGCGTTTTTCAAGCTCTACCCAATGAACTAACTCTCACTGAGATTTTTTTTTTCTCACCGAGTTTTTCTACGTTTGTGTATGTCTGGAAGTCCTAAAAATCCCCCAAATCCACTTTTCTCCCTTGGCCCCAAACTACGTTTTCTAGAAGTCCTCAACTAAAAACAAAAACGTGTTTTTTTGAAAGACCAGGTCGAGTACATGAGATATGTATGTCGTCTTATAATCCGGAATCCAGTGAAATGGCACAGGATGTGCCGAAATTTTAAAAACTGACTTCTTTCTAGCGTTAATTGTTTTTAAATCTCAGTGAGTTCATCTCAGTTAGTTCATTGGGTAGAGCTTGAAAAACGCGTCGAATACATATCTTATTATCTTGTTGTTTTGACTTGACTTTGTGGAGAAAATATGGTTAAAAAATGTCTATTTTTCAAAAACAGCTATTGTTTTAAAAAATTTTCCGAGCCTCTTCCTTAGATTTTAGAATGTTCTATCTGATAAAGATTTTCAAGCTTCAATTTCAAAACGTTTTAACGTGATTTTCGTTATCAGGAGCTCATGTTGTGCTAGTCCTGCAGATTTCAAACGATTGACATATAGTCGATGTAAAGTCTGGTACGCCTCCGAAAGAATTACCCTGTATCGAAAACAATATGTTTCTCAGGCGTAGATTTTAGTTAAATTATTTGAAAAACGTAAGGTAAAAGTAAAACATGTACTTTATTGATTTGAATGTACAAATATACGCAGATGGCATTGTTTTTTATTTCTACGTAATCGATACATGTAGCTCAGAGACACTCTCTGGCGTGGAATAAAATAAGATGGGATTTAATGAATTGTGCAAATAACAAGAACAAAAATTGATTATTTTACATATTTTTGACATAACACCATTTTACTTCATCAACACTAAAGAGGAAAAAACATCTTTCTCATTATCGACGTTCCTTCAATCCTGTCTCATGTCAAAAGCAGCCATTGTGCAAGATCCACTAAAAAAAGTATGCAAAGATAGTATAGCACTAAACTAAAAATAAAATAAAATAAATATAAGTTTGTTTAATTGTTCTATTCAAGAGACGTGTGCTGATCAATGAGTATAATACTGTGATAAAGTAGCAGTGAGTATAATACTTCTTTATCGCAGTATTATACTCATTGATCAAAATTTTATTACCAACTGCGTCTTCTCGGAATTTTTAAGAGACGTGTTGTTATTCCTCGTGGTCAACCGGAAGAACGTTATTGTGTGTTAAATTACGACTGGTTTGTTGATATTCAATTACTCAAACGTCTTCGTAACAATGAAAATGAGCTTGAATCATCAGTATTCCCCTTCGATGAAATGTTTGAATCGCATTGGCAAATGTACTTGGAACATCAGTCTCATCCTTCACGTATTCGGATCGGCCTTGCTATGCTCTCACCAAGAGATAAAAGTATTCGTGCCGATGTCAAGTTGATCATTATCACTACTCATGGTGGCCAAATTATCATGGAACATATTTTCTATGATCATTGCTTTTTTCTCTCACAAGGTGAATCCATTTCATCATTTATCAGCGAAGAAATATCGCCAAAAGTTTATTTGGATATAACCGGTGAATTGTACAAAGACATATTGAATGATCGTCAAACATATAATGCTGATGAAGTAACAATTATTGCGAATGTTCGATTTGCCAATGAGATTGAGATTCAACCTAAAACGAAAGCACATGATTTTTCACGACGATTTACAACTGAATGGAAATTAACAAAACTACGAACGATTATTGAACAAATAAATCAATCGAGACCACCTGTGGGAAATGATCGACGACTTGTAAGTGATAAATTTACGTTTTATCATACAAAAATTGTTGATAATTTCAAAACAAAACTGTGGAGATTGTTCATCAAGTATCCATCAGCCAAGCAACCATTGGTTCTAACATTAAAGACAAATAATTATCAACATTCCAATTACGCAAAAGTGGAAATAGCATGTAAGAAGGATAATCAAGTTTTACGCAAGTTTACTCAGTCATTCGAAGATTTATCAGAAAATTATATTACAGAATTTTTTACATTGGATGAATTAAGTACAAATATTTATAAATATTGTTATGAGTTTAATGAAAATAATGGTCGATTTTTTACAATTGAATATATTCTGTTATCAATTCAAATTGTTCAACAATTAAGTAAACATGATTTCCCACGAACAGTGAAACGAATTATCGAACCAACAATGATTTCATTGACACAGAATGGGACTGTTCAAACTAAAGGTGTTGCACGAATGATTAATCACAAATCATTAACTACTGGTACAAAACAAACAGAAGTAGATCGTAGCATATCTAGAGGAAATACAATGACAAGAACAGCATCCGTGCTATATCATGAAAACACTAAAAGTCCAGAGCGAAAAAATGGTCATGCTAGTAGAGAAAATTTCAATGATAAACAATTTGTTGCTGATACGTGGTCTGAACAAATAAAAGCGCCACCACCTCTATCTAATAAGTGGGAGCAATATTTTGATGAAAGTATTCAACAGAAACAATTGGAGCAGAATGGAGATCAAACTCATATAAGTAGAGTACGTATATAGTGCATATATGCTTTTCTTGAATTCTTATATTCTCCATTGATAGCGATCTTATAAAGATTGAATGAACATTGAACTTCAAAGCAGTTTCTATATAGAGCTGAGTTAGTACGGATTTTCTCGAGTACGAGTCGAGCATGAATATGAGTGTGAGTATTTGATTGTTGAGTACCAAAACTTGGTATTCGAGTTTATTCGACTAGCTCTATTTCTGTAACTTATTAAAAATGTTGATTAATTATTTTTTTGTTTAAGCTTGAGCAGTATAGTAAACAAACATCTCATGATCAACTATTTCCTTCAATAGTATCTAAAAACCATTATACATCAAATGGTAATTCTTCCTCATCATCGGAGTATCGTTACAATCACACAGAAATGAAATCTTTGGCAGATATTCATGAAAAATTGAGTAAAAGTCCACAACAAAATCAAAAGTCACCAAGATTAACAGTCAATAAACAGACGCGTTTTGCTCAACCATCGCGTCTTTCAGCAAATACAGCTATTCGTCGACGATCAAGTGATACAAATCCACCATTGCCATCTATCTCATTTTCATCCACATGGGATTTACCCGAAAATTTTACATTTTTAAGTAATTTATTTCATTCCGGTCTACATTCCGATGTTACATTAAAGAAACAAGATTACGAATGGAAGTTACATAAAAATATTCTTTCTTCGCGATCAACTTATTTCAACAAATATTTTTCTTCGATAACGACTGATACTTCATCAACAACGAATAAAGATTTGACTATATCACTTGATGATGATTTACCATGGATTATTCTTGATAAAATGTTTCTATTTTTATATACAAATCAATATCCTTTATTTTTCGCTCAAGAAACAACAACTAAAAAAAAGGTGAATAATAGCCCAAATCGTTCAGCTAGTTCATTAAAACTGAACATATTTGACTGTACGAGATTATTGTACGAAGCAACATTGAAATATGGTATTGATATTCTATCATCATTATGCATTCAAGATTTATGTACCAACTATTTAGCGGTAAACAATGCAGCCAATCTTCTCATCGCTGTTCATTTAGGATGTGATAAAAAAGGATTACATACCACAGATTTTATCTCAAATATGACTGAACATAAAAAATCGATATTAAAATTTATTCAATTACATTCAAAGGATGTTCTCCTGTCACCAACATGGAAATTCTTAGATAAAAATCATCCCGATTTAGTTAAAGATGTATTAGAATTTTTAGTTTTTCAAAAATAAAAATCTATTAGGTAAATAGAGAGTTATATATACAAGTGTCAAGGTTTGAACAGTTTAGAGACAGAAAGATGAATACTGTCAATTTGTAGATTTAAATCATAAAACAGTGTACTTCATGTAGATGAATCAATTTGTTTTCAAAAAAGAAAACTTAATTTGAATTTGTAATACGCAGTTGCACTTTTCAACCATATTGAAAAATGAGTTTCATTTGAAAAGATTTCTTTTTAAAATTTTACACGTTTCCTTTGAAAAAGTTATGTAAATATTATTTCTGTTCGTTTGATTTACCTCAAAAATATGTGTATAAATTAAAAACTTTACTGAATATGCAAAAATTTTTTATATTATTCAGTTTTTATGCAATTCTTGTTATTGAATGTCGAAAATATCAGCGTATCTACTGTGTAATAAAAACATATGGAAAAAATTTGATAACAAAAGCAAATGCAGTTTATCAAACATGGGCTAAACGTTGTGATAAACATGTATTTTTAACAGCAACAAATTTGAGTACAGCAACTAATTTATCTGTAATAATTCTACCTGATGTTGAAGATGATTATCTCGAATTAAGTATAAAAGTATTTGATGCCATAAATATTATTATGAAACAACAGGTATAGTTGATCCGTCTCAATCATGAGAAATTATAGGCGAATACCGAGAAATGATGTTGATTTTGTTGCAAACTTTTAAACTTTATAGTTTTTCTCATAGCCTTATAACTTTGATTGGCTTCTAATTGCTGATGATGATACTTACGTGATTATGGAACAATTACATCGACTACTAAATACCGTTAGTGATTCTACTAAACCAGGTATTAGAATTAGATTTTTCAAAAATTTTGTTACTTTTCTGTCTTTTTCCATTTTCAGTTGCATTTGGTCATTTATTCGCACCAAAACGTGCAAAAACACATTTTAGTGGCGGTGCCGGTTACGTGTTTAATACTCCTGTTTTAACATTAATGAATCCTAGTTTACAAGAGACATGTGGCGAATGGTATGTACCAGCAATGGAAGATGTACAAATGTCACGTTGTCTTCAACAATTAAATGTACCATTAAACGACTCGCATGAATTTAATTTACATCGATTTTATCCGTTATCATTTACAAGCTTGTACAAATCAGAATTTCCTCAATGGTATGCCGATTATAATACGCTACCAATTTATGATGGATACGATTGTTGTAGTTCGAATGCCATTAGTTTTCATTACACACCACCAGAGACAATGAATTTAATCGATTGGGCAAGATACACGAATATACAAAATGATTGAAAATTTCTAAACATATTTTTAAAAATATTTATTTAAATAGTGAACAAAATAGAAATAGGAGTTATTTTTCTTCTGCTATTTTACTTCTGTTTCAAAAAATTAAAATTAAAAGTTTTTCTAACGTTTTCTTCTTAAACTTAAATCAAAGATATGGAACAATTATTGTAATATAGTAGCATCAGCCATAGTGCTCAATTTTATATGGACAATCAAGGATTTTGTACGTAAAGATATAAACTGTGGGTATATACTAACTATACCCATGGGCAAAATAAAACGAAATTTACGAAATTTTCACACGTTTTTAGGTGTAAAACATTTTTGTATCAACTATTACACGTAAACTGAGGCATTTTTACGAAACTTACGTGTGAATTCCGTAAAAAGATTACGCTAGTTTACGCATAAGCATTGTTTTATATGTAAAACGAACAACTAGTCTTTGATTTTACGACGATTTACGCATGTTTACTCATAAAATTTTCGATAATACTCTTATTTTACGAAACTTATCCCAACTTTTTACGAAAATTTTGCCCATGGGTAGTATTGAAGTAAAATCTGCCAAGAATTGTTTGTCTGATTTTCATGTACATGTATGAATTGTCTCCTTTCAAATTTAAATATATTAATGCGCAATAAACCCTAAGTAGTATAAAATAAATGTTATATATGAAACAAATTGAGACGGAACGATTTAAAGAATAAATTTTTTATAGATAGAAATGAGAGATTAATTAGAGCTGAATCAAGATTAAACTCTAAAATTCAGACTATTTTTTGTAACATTAAAGCGTATCCTCTCGATTCGTCCCTAATTGCTCTCTCTAATTCGTTCCACAAATTTTTTTCTCAATTCGTCCCAATTTTCTTCTCTCTCAGTTCGTTCCATTTTTTAAATACTTATTCTGTATAAGTTCTCTTTGTGTTCTTCAAAATAACAAGGGTTTCGTTCATGCTAGTCAAAATACAATAAATAAAAATATATACGGAAACGTATCTAAAGTAGATAGTAGAAATTTACATTTAACCAAAAGTTATCGTGTGAGTGAAGTTTGCAATGTTAAGATTCACAGAAACCGAAAACAGCAAACCACGTAGAGGGATATAATAAACATATAGAAAGTGTATTCCCTATTCATTCACATATTTATGGATTTATTGATCTATTACGTCAAGAACATGTCCATCACACAGAAGAATCTGAAGTCCAAACTCGTAAAAAAAAATTATAATGAAACTTCACGCTCATGAAAAACGAGAGGTAACAAATCTACGATTAGCCATAAAATGTGAAAGGGCGAAAAAATTCATGTGGAATAAAGACAATGTATTAATAATACTTTTTTCTTTCCATTTCTGAAAGTTAAGTTAAATATAAGAGAACTTATGCAAAATAAGTATTTAAAAAATGAGACTAAAAAAAGTGGGACGAATTATTTGAGACGAACTGAGAAAAAAATTTGTGGAACGAATTTAGAGAGAGCAATTAGGGACGAATGGAGAGTAAATCCATTAAAGACTTATCGAAGTTATGGCAAAGATCGGTGACTGTTTTTCACAATCTATGCGATTGTTGTTGGGAACGATAAATTAAAGTCATAACTCCCGCCTAATCGAGTAATTATTAAAAATAATTGATTTCTAATCAAACTAGTACTATAACATGACAGAAAGAGAGCTAAACATTAACAGTGATGATGATGGAGATCGGTTGTATATCGATGAAAGTGTTACAGATATTGAACATCATAAATACTTTTCTCAATATTCACATAAGACAACTACAACAGAAAATCCGTTTACGCTCGATTTAAATGTTCTCTCAAGTAAATATAGAGTTCGAGCTAGTCAAACAGTGTTAATAACTTGTAATGTACTGCATAAACGTCAACGATCATCACAATGTAATCCAAGATATTATGCAACACATACAAAAGAAACAAGTACAACAACGGACATTGAAGATGATAAAAAATCATCACAATCAGATATTATTTGTATTAGTGACAATTTATCGATGACAAACCAGTAATAATTATTTAATTACTAGAAGGTATAGATATCAAACACAGTTCTCAGGAAATAGAATAATAAAATTTTTTATACTCTTGTATATAGTAATAGTTCATTGTTGTAGTGACATTTGGATACTACATAGACGGTCGATCATAAGTGTCCATACACCGTCTTGATAAAGCTTGTTGTATGACCCTTTTTCTTAAACCACGTGATCGATCAAGCTTTTCCGAGAATATTCAAAATTCTCCATAGTCTATTTGGGTACTAGAGTTCTAAACTAATTGTAGATTCAGGAGTACAGCATTAGTCTCGTAGCTACTTTGAGTTGATCAAAACTACTCATTCATACAGTCATTTGAATTTAAATTTTCTTGTTTTGCATAGACCAAAGCTATACAATTGAGTATTTCTGATTGTTCAATATGGCTGTAGGATATGAGGATATATGTAGGATATAGTCAATTTTGTCTACTGAGTGTGATTAAACGATTGAAAAATGAAAAATATTATTTTTGTTCAAAGGTTTTCGAGAAATTCTTTCGGAAAAACATTGACTTTTGTAAATTTCCTATAAATAGTTTAAATAGTATATCCTGACATTTTTTGGTCATTATGATGTATAATTGTCCCATTACTTTTGTCTTGTCATCTATTTGAATTGTCACTAATACAAATAATATCTGGTTGTGATAATTTTTTATCATCTTCTTTGCCTATGGTTATACAATTTTATTCAGAGGGTGTATGATCAGCATTGTATGTAAATCTATACACTCTACAACTGATTTATTAGAAATAATAATTTTTGACAAAGGAAATGATATACTTTAATGACATGTGACTAAGAGGTAAAGTTATTATCCTATTCATAAGATTATGAAAATTTTTTCTGAAAAGTCTAATTTAGCCGGTACTAGCCAAACAAATGTTTTTTCTTTATTGTTGTTACAGCTGTAATAATCTTAATTTAAAAAGCAAAAACCATAAGACATTAAAAACTCTCAGAATCTCTCAATGGATAGTTACTATTATATAACGTAACTAATTTTATTATATCAACTATTCATAAATTTTTGCCCCGAAACCGACTCAATGTTTTTAAGTAGCGTATATGCAATATACTTTCTATATTTCCATTTTAATGTGTCAGATGCATTACAGAATCTTTGTCTTCTACAGAGAATACAAAAACAAAGATTTCATCTACTGATTGTTTTTCAAAAATAGCATATGCTTGCTATGTATTACTTCAGAAGAAGAAATAAAAAAATATATTTTTAATTAGGAAATGAGGTTTTTGATTGAAAATAAACACAAATAAAATAATTAAATCAAATTTAAAATAAACAAAGTACTTGACTGCACTTCACATTTCCAAGACATACTACTGTTCGTTAATAACACAAAACAGAACAATAGCGTATAAGACCAAAATTATAAGGTAATATTTTTAAGATCTCATATTTAGATCGAATTTAATATATTCCACTACCATAGAGTGATCTGTTGAGAATACTTATTTTCTCTTATCCATAAAATGTTAATTATTGTCCTATACGGTGATAATCAGCGTGCCATATTTAATCCAGATTGTAAAGTAAGATAGAATCTATTCCAGATATAAAGTAACATTGATAACACTTAATGTCTACTGTAGACAATAAATTTGATAAGCTCAATAAGAAAAAATTGTCGATGTGATCGTAATATCTGTGTAGATTTATGTGATCTCACTGGTGATTTGAGACATATCAGTGAATCAGCGGAACAAGAATACGCGTCAGCCTTATTCAAAGATCGTGAAAAACTTGTGCTAATACGAATTGAAAGTATGAATTAATATTTTTTCTACTAAACAACATTTGCTGTTTTCTTGTACTTCATTTAGAACAAAATGATCAAACATTATTGTATACACCATTACTTAAAGATGAAAATACCATAACAAATGAGTTTTTGTCACATCTCTACAGTCGTGATAGAAATAAAGTAACTGAAAGCTACACTAATAAACAGATTCGTCCAATTTTAAATACGAGCAAACAATCGAATAATCAAACAACAAAATCATCGTTACAATCTCGACGAAGTTATATTTCGAACAATCAAGTTCAACAAAATCAATCCGGCAACCTCACCGTACAACATACATCACCAACCCGAAGAAAAAGTGCTACTAAAACGCAGTTGCATTTGAAGTAACGTCACTATTCTTTTCTGACTTGAAATTTACCTAATACATATCCTTTCGTCTAACTTTGTATTCATCACTTTAGTTGACTAATATGATAATTTCATACTATTAATTTGAGTTCAAAACAAAATGTGACGCTCATTTCTTTTTCAACTGATTATTTTCTAATATTTATTTAAAGTTCAACTGATAAATAAAAACTTCTACTTTTGGTGCTATTTCTCTTAACAACAACATATTTAATATACAAACAAAACAAACGACAGTCAAAAACATACTGTATAAGATAATGTCTATAGTGGTGGGGCTGTTGTTTCCCATCTACAGCTTGCCATATATAACTTGATACCTTAACAAGAACACACGGAAATTAGAGAAAGAGATAAGAGGCTGTTGCGTTCGAACATGTACTATGTCATGTAAAAAATTGAAAAAGTAAATAAAATGCAGTTAGAAATAGAATTACAATTCATTGCCTCTCGGATATTTCACTCCATATTTATCACATACTTGCCAATATTCCTTTAGATTTACTGTAATAAGAAGTTCATATATATTCAGTCTAGTGGTAACACGTAATTGAACGAACATATGAGAAAATTTCCATGTTGATAACAATTTTTGAAATTACAAACTTCAACATCTTAATCGTTTGCTAATTAAATTGAATCACACAAAAATAATCACTGAATGTTTAGCTAAACAACCTTTATAAATTATACACGTTTAAACTTGTTGATATGTTAACTGATCAATGCGTTGATGGTTTCATCATGGTTGATGTTTCTTGTGCAATTGGTTGTATTGTATGTTTCAAATTTTCTGCTTCAATATAATTCCTTGCTGCATCTTTGAAATAGAAATTTTACATTAATAAAGGTTGAAATTTAGTCAAAATTTTTACTATTTGTCTGCTGACTCTTCAGTGTTCAAATGTCAGGTCAACTATTCTCAAGAGACACAGCTAGGACTACTGCAAGAATTTGTTGCAAATATTGTTATTTGTCATGAAACATACGTATTAAGCGCACCTATATGAAGGATTAAGGAAGGAATATGTCTATATGATAGAATTAAAGCTTTATTCAGTTTATTCGATGCGTAATTCGTTATAGAATATAAATAGATGACAATATCTCACACTGACGAAGACAAGAAGCAGCAAAATACTACTTTTGCAGATTAAGAACCGACATCATTAACGACAGATATTATAAAAATTAGAAGAAAAACATTTCAAAGCGGGGGAAGATCGTCCCCCTAAACATACCCGCAAACTTGGCTGGTTTATAGAGAACACATACAATGGTATGCCTATGGAATAAAACAAAATTTGATCAAGTATTGACAGTGTTATTAATTAATTAAGTTTAAAATTCGAGGTAAAATTTGAATTGCTAGTCTTGCAGTTTGATCAAAGATAATCGTAAGAACGTCATTCTTGAGTAGTTTGAGAGCCAACGATCTATGATTGGTTATAGCTTCATAAAAGAAACCTTTTAAAATTACTTTTTTGAGGTATTAAATTATAATTAATAAGTGTGATTCAAAATTTGATGAAAAATTGATTTTATAGGAGATCTCTGAATAACCGAGCCGTAACTCTGAACTCGCACCATAATTAAATTGATTTTTTTCCATGGATAAATAGCCCAAAGTGTTTTGCTGGACACAGTAATAACCGCTTAGAAATCCAATATACCTGAAAATGGGTTAAAATACCTCAAACAAAAGTAGGTAGGACGCTTTTTGCTGTAAAAATCCATTTTCCAGGTGGTACACTGAAGGCTCGAACCTCTGAGATGGTATAAAAGGCTTCAAATGCTTAAATGGGGACAGACGCGGCGGATAACTGCTAATTAGTAACTTTTTGGAAATGCAAATATAGGGTTTTGTAGTGCTTGAAAATCTTTGTCAAATGATACATTCCTTCATGATCTCCAAAGAAATCAGTAACTTACAAATAAAAGTGTAAGGCACCAGAGTGACGCCAATTAGCACTTATTAATTATAATCTAATACCTCAAAAATAATTCTAAAAATTTTCTTTTATGAAGCTATAACCAACCATAGATCGTTGGCTCTCAAACTACTCAAGAATGACGTTCTTACGATTATTTTTGATCAAACTGCGAGACTAGCAATTCAAATTTTACCTCGAATTTAAACTTAATTAATTAATAACACTGTCAATACTTGACCAAATTATGTTTTATTCCATAGGCATATCATTAAAGGTGTTCTCTACAAATCAGCCAAGTTTGCGGGTATGTTTAGGAGTAGGACACACACACACACACACACACACACACACAATGCACTCACTACTTATAGCTGTTATTTATCCACATTCGTCTGTTAAAATCAATTATCCGAAAACAGCGAGACA